CTCTTTAATATTTTATCAGACTTTTAGGGTATGGTCTCAAGTCAACTTCATATATTTTTCCTTTAGTCACTAAAACCTCAGTATATAAAATATAAATATGTGAAAAATTAGATACATATTCCATTTTTATTTTAGTTTTCCATATTTCTAAATTAATGAAGGAAAATCTTAGAAACATCTTATGAATAAATACTATACTAGAGTAACAATAAGCAAAGCTACAGAAAGGAAAAATCTGAAGCCCATTATTTTTAAAAACTAACATTAAAATATACAAATATTACAACTTAAATTTAAAAACCCTGAAGACATCAGGGTCCATATCTGCAAAAAGTCTTTCCCAAAAACATTTATTTGGCGGATATGCACATAATACAAAATTTAAATCCAATTAAATCATTTGGAAAGCCCAGTTTGTATCAAGGGTCCTGATGTAAGTGAGAGAAGACACCATTCCGAGCACAGCCTGAAAATAATTGTTCCAGTATCACCTTGCTCTTTTGCCTGGATACCTTTGCAGCTAGTCTTGTGCGCTGGAATACAACTGCAGGCTTCAGACTGCTACCCTTTGGCCTCAAAACTGTAATTTCCTGAATGCTGAGTGAGGTATTCACCACTGTTCAGCATTCTAGTATCTTCTCAAAAATACTAGAATGCTGAAATACAAAAAATACAAAACCAGTGTTAGGCATTCCTTCATCCAGTGTAGCTTATAGAAGTCTTTCCAAAAGCACTTTTTGAATGCTATTTTTAAAAACTATGTAATGAAAGAAACACGGTGGCTCTCACGTTTAGGGCACTGGGTGGGAGGTTAGAAGTCCACATTCAAGACCCGAGTGCTGCCATGAAGTGGGGTGAACTCTCGTTTTTCGTTCCAGCTCCTGCTGGCAACATGAAAGGAGCATCCGCCTGGGCCTCCCCATCTAATCCTTTTAACCAGAAAACACCTTCTGACACGAGTACAAAAAATGTATAATTCATTATATAAAGATTCACCTATTCCTTTGCAATTTCTTATTGGATAATAACTACCGGTATATGAATGAAAGAGACAGAAATGTTTTTTTAAAAATTGCATAAAATTTTATGTATATATTTCCAAGGCATTTTTAGCAGGAGTGTAATTTTTCAACAATGTCCCATCTTAATGCTGACATTGACTTAGACATGTAAATGTTTTCAAAAGATGATGGGTAAATTACTAGGTGATCGTATAACATACCATAGGCCGCTGATGGGACATTTCTATTTTCCACTTGCCTTTTAGTTACATAGCTTTAAGTTAATTATGGTGTATAAACACTTTTTTTTTTCTTTCTAGAACAGGCAATATTTTTCTTAATTACAGAAAAACCATAAACTCCCATTTAAAGTTAAAAAATAGCTACAGTACTATTCAATCTATGTATAAAAGTGACCAATATGCTAGGCAGCAAAGGAACTATTGATAATTATGATGGAAAGTCAATGACAATGGAAATTTTAAAATCTACACTCTTATATAGATTTTCAATTCTCAAAATTCTCAGGAAGATAACTTACATCACAGCATCAATTTACAGCTGAAATTTACTGTTTTATCAGATATCTAACATAAACTTTTTCTTCTAAGATTTTTGTACAGTTTTGAAGAAAAGCCAATTTTATGGCATAGTAAAATTGTCTAGAAAGTGGTCATAATATAGCAATTAACACACAAGCATTTGTAAGAATAAAATATATAAGCAATAAAAACAAAGCATTACAAAATAAATACCCCAAAGAGTTCTATCAATCAATCAGAATAGAGCTGGAAGGGATCTTGGAGATTTTCTAGTTCTGCCCCTACTAAAGCAGGAGACCCTATACCATTTCAGATAAGTGATTGTCCAATCTCTTCTTAAAAACCCCAAGTGATGAAGCACTCACAACTTTGGAAGGAGCTGTTTCACTGATTAATTGTCCTCACTGTTGCAAGTTTCTCCTTAATTCCAGGTTGCTTCTCTCCTTGCTTAGTTTTCATTAGTTTCTTGTACTGCCCTCTGATGCTTTGGAAAATAAATTGACTCCCTCTTCTTTGTGGCAGCCTCTCAAATACTGGATGTTATCATGTTCCTCCCTAGTTCTTTTCTCTAGACTAGCCAAATGTTGTCATGTTCCTCCCTAGTTCTTTTCTCTAGACTAGCCAAAGCCAAATCCACATCCGTTTGTCATACACCACGTGCACAATTATTAGGCAAGCTGTATTTCTGAGGATTAATTATTGAACAACTACAATGCTCTTGGTCAACCAAAATGTTAATAAACCTCAAACCTGAATATTTTAAAAAGTAAAAGTGAGGTTATGGCTTTCTTAGGAGAATATCTATGTGTGCACAATTATTGGGCGACTATTAATGTGCAGAATTATTATGCAATTAGATGAAAAATGAACATTTTCCCATCTCACTTATTTATTTTCATCTGTTAAAGTGAGAATAATAAACAAACAACTAAAAAATTACAAATAAACATTTCTGACAGTTCAAAAAAAAAAATCAGTGACCAATATAGCCCACCTTTCTTTTCCATAACAGCCGTAAGCCTTCCATTAATGGAGTCTGTCAGTTTCTTGATCTGTTGACGATCAACTTTTTGTGCAGCAGCAACCAAAGTCTCCCAGACACTGTTCAGAGAGGTGTACTATATTCTTTCACCGTAAATCTCCCATTTAATAAGGGCCCACAAGTTCTCAATAGAGTTTTGGTCAGGTGAGGAAGGGGGCATGTCATTATTCTTTCATCTTTAAGGCCTTTACTGGCTAGCCACACAGTGGAGTATTTTGATGCAGATGGTGAAGCATTGTCCTGCATAAAAATCATGGTGGTCTTGAAATGACTGTACCACTGCTTGAAGAAAGTGTCTTCTAGAAACTGGCAATAGGTTTGGGAGTTGATTTTGAGACCATCTTCAACCCCAAAAGGTCCAACTAGCTCATCTTTAATAATACCATACCAGTACCCCTCCTCCACCTTGCTGGCATCTGAGTTGAAGTGGAGCTCTGTGCCCATTATTGATCCAGCCACAGGCCCATCCATCTGGTCCGTCAAGAGTCACTCTCATCTCATAATCCATATGAAACCTCTGATAAATCTGTCTTCAGATATTTCTTGGCCTAGTCTTGCCATTTCAACTTATGTTTCTTGTTCAGTGGTGGTCAGGTTTCAGCCTTCCTTACTTGGCCATGTCTCTGAACACTGAATACCTTGTACTTCTGGGCACTCCAGGTAGGTTGCAGTTCTGGAATATGACAGCACTGGAGGATAATGGATTTCTGTAGCTTCACATTTGATTATTTTCAAATCTTTGCCAGTGATTGTGTATCTTTTTTTTCTCAACACGTTTCTTGTAACCCTCTTGACTTTTTGCAACAAAATGTTTGATGGTTCTGTGATCATGCCCCAATATCTTAGCAATTTCAAGAGGCTGCATCCCTCTGAAAGACTTTTTACAATTTTTGACTTTTCAGAGTCATACATCTCTTTTTAAGCCCATTTTGCCTGAGGAAAAGAAGCTGCCTAATAATTATGCACACCTTGGTATAGGGCAGGGGTCCTCAAACTTGGCAACTTTAAGACTTGTGGACTTCAACTCCCAAAAGCTATGCTGGCTGGAGAATTCTGGGAGTTGAAGTCCACAAGTCTTAAAGTTGTTAAGTTTGGAGACCTCTGATATAGCGTGTTGATCTCCTTAGGCCACACCGTCCCTCATTACACAAATACACATCACCTGATATACTTATGCCAACTAAGCATTCAAGTTTATACAGCTTGGAGGTGGAGAATATGCATAAAAAATGATGATACGGTCAAAATACTCACTTGCCTAATATTGGTGCACACAGTGTATGTTATAGTGTCCAGGCCTTTAATCATCTTAGTTGCTCTTCTTTGCACTTTTAAAAACTATAATTTAGGTTATTTACCAACTTGTTTTCTGGAGCTTGGGTGATATTCTCCAGCATTCTCTGCTCTAATTTTTTCCAGCAGCAACCTACTTTTGGGTTAGACTGGGCCAAAAGAGTATAATTGGCCTAAAGCTGTTCATTCTATGGCTTAAAGTAGACTTGAACCAGAATTTTTCCAGTCATAGTCCAATAATTTAGTCATCATACCATAGTTGATGGTATCTTAATTCCAATTAAAGGACATGTACTTCTATGGTCTATGAAAAAAACCCCACACATACTGTACTAAATTATTATGAATGCATAATTTTGTGTAGCATTTTAGTTGTGCAACTTGCTAATCAGATTGCATGCACAAATTGATTGTGTTCAGTTCTAGGACGTTTTTACAATTACTTTTCTCTCCACTATACCTTCCATAAAAAGTTTAATACAGTATATGGATGCAAGGAAAGCATAAAAAATATTGTGCAAACTTAGGCAATGCCCTCCAATCTGTGTTTTGCTTCTCTGGAGCTCTCTCTAGCCACATCTGTTATAAATACCACAATGAGGTGGGTAACACAAAGGCCTGTAGAGTAAACCCAACATAAATTCAATATAATTACACCCCACCTCCAGCTCCCTGTTCCTTCCATTCTGCATTACTACTATACTTATTCTGGTCCTCAATTTTCTCTGCTAAGGGGGAAAATCTATATTTTTTCATTTTTTCCTTCTCCCAATCCCCTTCTGTTCTCCAACTTCAAACCAGTAGGCTTAATTTCAACACTGATCGAATTAAAATCGGACAATACATGTTGCTTAAAAAGGATTAGTCAATCATTTTTTATATCCAGTGTGGCAAGCCAAAATCTTCAAGCTCACATGTGATTTTATTATTGCAGTTTTTTGAATGTAACATAATAATGACTTTTTATCTTTCTTGGATTTTTCTGAATTTCTACATTAATTGATAAAAAATTAGCATATTCTAGAATATTAATAGAGATGAAAATACTCTGGTTTATGATAAGAGAATTACTAATTTTATACAAACATTAAGAAACATTCATATGAAGAAACTTTTCTTTACCTTTAGAATAATACCAGGCTCCTCTTTATCTGAAGCAATAAATAAATTATGCCCACAAACTACTCCTTCTGCAAGGAAATTCTTGAACAACAGATTGGAGTAAACACCATATACATCTTCCTCTGCAGGAAAAACATACATGTTATTAGAAAATAGACATACTATTAGGAAGGCAAACATGCTTGCTATTATTTATTTATTTAGTATATGGCACCTACAGAGGTCATGCAATCCCGATATATAACACAAATAAAATAAATTATACACACCAATGCAAATATAAGTTAAATAAATCATCAGCATATATATGGATATGTGTATGTGTGAAGAATGTGGACAATATAGTATATTAAAGTGAAGCCATAATAAAATCACCATAATATGGCACCCTAGAATCGCAATAGATGTTACAATTCAGTATCTAAGAAAGCTGGTCATCTAGCTGCTTCTGGTGTGGCTGCAATGTGATCATCCCAGGTGCCTTGAAATTCTCAGATTACCGATATATGTATTATTGTTTTTTCCGATGCAAGAGTAATATTGCAGGCTCTTAGCCATTCCCCACCTAAAGATCTTAATTCTGGGCATGGCCTGTTTTGATTATATTAGGTTGGCTCTATATTTTTCAGGGCAACTGTATTTCTGGAAGTGGTTTTGTTGGATCTGTGTGATCTGTTTGGTTATGATTATTAAAGGTCAACCATTTTAATCACCATTCTTTAATTAGATCATAAGATTGCAATATGTTATCACAAATTGATTTCCTAGACTTAAGCCTGGTGCGAGGTAGAGAGTCTAATAGTTTATGTATTGGTAGATCTCTAGGACTCAATAGCCTGTTTATCTTATTCCACTCTTGAACTGTCTGTTGTTGTCGCAAACATGGAAGGCAAACATACTTGTTGATCTCCAACAAATGTAGATGGGAAAATCATTGCAAATATCTCATCTCATATCAATACTGACTTCATTTTTAGCCATCAACAGGTATGCACTGGTTGATACCTGGTTGATACCTGAGGTAATAGTCAAGATAACCTTTAAATCAAATACAATTTTCATAAATTGAGTTATCATAAATATAGCTTTAGAGATATTCAATTCATAGTTTAATTAGTCTCTTAAATGTCAAGATACTTTCCACCATCATCTGTGCTTTAGTGAATACTTGAATTTATTAAAGTATAAAAAAAAAAAGCTGGAGCTTATCTTCTGTAAGAAATATTAAAAAATTATCACTTTTTTAGATTGTTCAGATATTTCTCCAAATATTTTCTTAATATCTAAATAAAGGACTAAAAGTAAAGGCAAAATTGTATTCTTCTATACTTTAAAGAAGCTTAAATAATTCATCTGTAAATAACATTAAATATTAAAATCTGACAAAAGGGAAAGTGAACCAATATATATTTTTGGTGCTTTGCTTGGAGTTCAGAGATGCAGCTGCAGGCAACTTCAGCCCACATCAAAAGTTAGAAAAAGTGAATGTACATATATACACATCTATTGTAGTATAACCATATAACCATATATATATGTTTTGAAAAGAATCTATTAATCCATCAGTTTTCAAATTAATTTCACATTCAAAACATTCATTTATCTATTTCATTTCTCATTAAAGAGTACATCATAACAGAGTTCTGCCATTTTCCCAGGTACACTCAAACTTATCCACCTGAAATTTTTGCTAAGTTTCTCCTTGTACAGGGGAGAAATAACAGCTTTATTCTGTCACATACAATTCTTTTCACAATGCTGTTCCCAGTAGTTTCTATATCCTTCTTCCTTACATTGACTTTCCATTCCATTGTTGAAGTATATATTTTCTTTTTACAGTTATTCTACTTTCACAGTATCACAGGGTTTGCACCATAGGGGTAATCTAATCCAATTCCCTGTTCATAGCAGCATCAAACAAAACATTTCTGATAACTAAATTCATTATTTCATGTGGTATTCTACCCCACTAATTGAATACTTAATAGTCAGGAAATTTCTCCAGATATTTAGTGTGAATGTACATCCCGTAAGTTCTGGGGTTGGTGTTGCCCTTTGGAACACCAGAAAATAATTGTTTAGTATGTTGGTTGGTTGACTTAGCTGTCTTATTGACTGAAAATGGTTTATTTTTTAAAAAAAATACAGGCATATATTAGTTGAGTCCACATATTGAGAAAATTGTGCTTTTTTCCACTTGTTTAACTCTTACTACATAGATTGAGTTGGACAGCTATTTAAATTGCTTAAATAAAATCTTTCAGCTATTTAAAGGCTGCTGTCATATCTCCCCTTAGCTAATTTTTCTATAGCCTAATCATTTCCAGATCTTTTAATCATTTCTCATACAGCTTGGTCTCCAAATTTTTTTATCATCTTCATAACCTCCTTCTGAACTTGCTCTGATTTGTCACTGTCTTTTTTTAAAATTGTGTTGCAGAGAACAATGCACAGTGTGCCAAAGACTCTGGCCACTGTACAATTACTTCCCACAACCTAGAAGTATTACCTTATTAATATACCACAACATAGCACTCATTGTTTCAAAGACAACACAATGCTACCTCATGTTTAACTTGTGGTCAACAAGGATACCCAGACTCTTCTCTCATGTACTGCTGCCCAGCTGAATCCTTGTATTTTTATTTTTCTTACCTAAATGTAGAACTTCATATTTCTCCCTCTTAAATCTCATTATACTCAACTCAAGACTATCTAGGTATTTTTTTAAAAAAATCTTCTTTTATCTAAAGTATTTACCCATTTTCTGTTTTTTTGTCACTCGCAAACTTCGTAAGTATCCCCTTAATTCACTCATCCATGCCCTGAGTAAAAATGTTGAAAAACAGAAGGCCCTGGGATGCAATCCACTTGACCCAGAGCCTTAAATTTATTTATTTATTTATTTGATTTGCCAATTGTTTACAAGATAATAAGTATAAGTGTATACATAGTTGTGAATACATGAAATGGGTACATATAAGAAAAATAAAAGAATAAGAGAAACAATAGGACAGGGACAGTAGGCACGTTGGTGCGCTTATGCACGCCCCCTACAGACCTCTTAGGAAAGGAGTGAGGTCAATAGTAGACAGTCTAAGGTTAAAGTTTTTGGGGTTTGGGGAAGAAACTACAGAGTCGGGTAGAGTATTCCAGACATTGACCACTCTATTGCTGAAGTCGTATTTCCTGCAATCAAGTTTGGTGCGGTTAACTTTGAGTTTGTATCTATTGTGTGCTCTTGTGTTGTTATGGTTGAAGCTGAAGTATTCATTGACAGGTAGGACATTGCAATGTATGATTTTATATACCATGCTTAAATCAGACCGAAGACGGCGTAATTCAAGGTTTTCTAGTTCTAGAATTTCAAGTCTGGTGGCATAAGGTATTCTACAACGAGTAGAGGAGTGGAGAACTCTTCTTGTGAAATATTTCTGGACTTTCTCAATTGTGCTAATATCAGATACGTAATGTGGGTTCCAGACTGATGAACTGTATTTGAGTATTGGTCTAGCAAATGTTTTGTATGCTCTGGTTAGTAGTGTGATATTACCAGAGAAAAAGCTACGTAGGATTAGGTTAACAACTCTTAATGCCTTTTTGGCTATGTAGTTGCAGTGGGCTCTAGCACTTAGATCATTGGAGGTGAGTATTCCAAGGTCTTTTACAGAGCTTGGGTCATCAACAAGATCTTGACTATTCAGCTTGTATTTTATTTTCTGATTTTTTTTGCCAATATGTAAGACAATATGTAAGACAGACAGAACTTCGCTAATTTGTTCAAATTAGCGAAGTTCTCTCCTGGCCAATACTTACCCTTCCTAAACTGCAATTCCCTCCTTCCCTGGTGGCACAACTATGATTAACTAAGACTATATTTCTCTTCTGCAAGAACGCACAAAAAAGTTAACAAGCTTTATTTTACTATCATCTATTACTGATTCATGATTTTCTCTTCACAACTGATCTTACACACTTTCGCTTTCTTTTTAATTTTAACAATAATTCTTAACAAGAATGCTGTTTGCTGTTTTTGCTACCTCTTTCAAATCTCAAATCATTCGAAGTGTTAGATTTTCTAATCAAGGGTGTGAGGGGTACATTATTTTCTTCTTTACGTTTCCCTTCTTCCATTCCCTGTATGTGTCCCTTTTCTCTTTTCAAATAACTTTGTGTGTATTCAAGCTAGACTCTTTAGATGTCACTAATTCTTCCTTTTTTGTGGGGAAAATTTTGTACTTGGTCTTCAGTATCTTGTTTCATGGGATTTTCCATTCTTTCTGGATACATTATTTAGTAATGGGGAAAATTCCTGAGAAAACCGTGGACACCCAAGACAATAAAGAAATGTATCATTGAACAAATCAACCCAGAATTCCCACTTGAGGTAGCAATGACAAGATTTAGATTATCATATATTGGACACATGATGTGAAGCTCTAAAGCAGGGGTGGGCAAACTACGGCCCGCGGGCCACATCCGGCCCGTTGGTCTTTTTAATCCGGCCCGCCGAAGATTGGTACAGAATTAAGGTTTGATGTGAATGATTGAATGATTGCATTCATTTGATTTTGACTTGTAATGACAGGCATTTCGACACCAGGTGGCGCATTAGGCGCAGTGACTTGATTTTGCGGAGATTTTGCAGTTTTTTATATGTATCGTATCTTGTGCTGACCCGGCCCGTCTGTCAAATTTTAAAAGTCAATGAGGCCCCCGAGCCAAAAAGTTTGCCCACCCCTGCTCTAAAGAGATCTTCTCTAAAAATCCCAAAGAAGGATCTAATATTGGGAGCAATGGAAGAAAAGAGAAGACCAGCAGCAAAGTGAATGGACTGAGTTACAGTGGCAAAAAGTGCACTGTTGAAGATTTGAAAGTTCAGGTTAGGTACAGACTGTCATTGAGAAAATCAATCAATGTGATAAGAGTTGACAATGACTTGATGGAATGTAATCAGTCAATTAGTCACCAACACTGATGTTAAACTTTATTATTTGTAATAATAATTGCTTTTCTTTTTCAGATACATTTCATAAAATCATCTCTGTCTTGTTCTTATTAACCCAATATCCTAATACTGCTATATATTACTGTATACATTTAATTACTGAGTCTAAAAAGGGTTTTTTAAATGAGTAACTGTTATCAGCATGTACATTTACTTTAACTTGTTGATTGGCAATTTAATTCCCTATTTAGAGAACAACAGAAAGAAAACAAAAGGAACAGAGATGAGCCATGGAATATCTTAATGGACTATATTTTGCTAAAATTCTATTCTAACACTGGTCACTTTTTCTTTTAAGTAAGATAAAAAAATTTCACCATTAATGGAAAATACTATTTTTTTACTAAGTTTTTTTTTATTTCCTGAATTAAAATGCTTACAACTTTGCAATAATGTAAGAATTATATTATTGGTATAATGTAAATCTATGATTTGTATGGGTGGGATTCTGCATAATTCTTCAAATCCCAGAAGTCTATTTTTTTAAAAAAAAAATCTAGGAATTGTAGATTATAAATTAGTTTCATTTTGTCTTATTCACTTCCTGAAGCAAGGAATGAACTTTAATAATGGCATTCAAAATTAAACTAAATTATAGAAAAAGAGAGTTGCAAGACAGAAGCTCAGTCACAAAGCATCTTCTATGTATCCACTGACATACATTTATATTCCAAAGAAATTGAAATTACCATCTAAATTATAAAAGGAAGTAAAAGCATAGAAAATTGCTAATGATTTTTTTTAAATTAATGCATGTAACTATGCATCCAGTGTATTGAAGTTACAATATAAAGGTTAAATGCATGATATTGAGCAAATCTATGACTTTATCATCACGATGTATGTTTTGCATGTATAAAAGGAAACAAGTAACAAAACATACCTCATAATGGCAAACCTATAACTTATATCAATGTGTTAGGCATTGGGAAGCAATAAGGGTAAAGTTTACATCATAACATTGCCATGCTTATGTTGTCTTTTTGACATATTATAAGCTCAATTTGCTATAAATATCTAAGACTACGCAAGTAGTTCTTGGTTTATGACCACTTATTCAGCAATTGCTCAAAGTTACAATGGTGCTGAATGAATGACACTGACAATAGTTTCAACAACTGCAGCATTTCCATAGTCATGTGATCACAATTTTTGACTGCCTGCCACCTTCCCACAAGGGAAGATAATGGGGAAGCCATAAGTAAGAAGTCCCAATAATGTATGTCCTTGCTTAATGACAGCAACTAAGACTGCTGGAATTGCTGCCATTAAGTGATGTGGCCAGGTGATATTGCACTTTATGACTACATCACTTAGCAACAGAATTTCCATCACAACTGCCATTGTAACACAAGGACTACCTGTATTTATATGTAAGTAACACATCAAATTTGTATTGGGGAAAGAGAATTATGTGCAGTGTATATGCAAGTACAATTTTATGTAGACAGACAGGTTATCCTACTGTTGGAATCTGTCATAATAAATCACTACTAAATCAGCATCATTATTATTCATAGTACTACAGAATAATACTGTGACCTAAGGTGAACATTTTCTAAGTTGCAGAACTCACGTAATTTGCCCTAGTTAATGAGATGAGAGTGTTTTAATCATCTTCACCATCTAAAATTGCATATGAAATATTTTATTAAGTGTCCATAAAAGTCACAAAGCTCAAAGGAGGTTAATCTGTGATATGTGTATTTTAATTAGCACATACCAATACAGAGTTAGCAAACATACACATTACATTACTTGGCAAATTGCCATTGGGAGAAAAGTAAAATTTGACAACTTGTATTTTGTATAATTATATTTAGCAAATCACTGTTTTGTACTTTGCTAAAGATTATCTTTTAACTTTTAAAAAGGTGATAAAGTCAATTACACTGACAAGTGAAATAGGTTAAATTGCACACCTAAAACAAAAAAATGTAGCTAATTAAAATAGTTAAAATTGCTTCAAGGCTTAGACTGAACAAGAATAGTCCTGCCTTTCCCCCAAAATGTGAGCTTTTTTTAACCTGACCTTATCTACTAAGTGAAAGATAACCTTTATAAGATAACCTTTAAGAACTAGGTGTTTCCTAAGAATATGATGAAGAAAATATTTTATTTAAATGCCAGTTATAAAACACTTGTAGTTTTATTTTAGAAAAGATTTCTAATTTTGACAAAATGAAGTAAGTATGCTATTAATTTTTAGAGAAAAAAAATATTATATTACTAATAATTTTGACAGGATTTTAGGAGTCAGCATTTTTAGTATATTTTATACTTCACAGACATTAGCAACACAATTTTAAAACACTGAAGCAATTGTTAATTCCATATTAATGTTTTATTCATTGTTTGTGGAAGCTATAAAGAACCTATATATAATTTTTTGCTCCAAACCATACACCATTCACATTCTTGATATGAAAATTCTGTATTTTCCTCCAATGCAGTCAAATATAAAAGATTAACATTTGCTAAAATGAATACTACTGTGTATGTGGATAGAAAAATACTAAAAAAAATCACTATTACAGAAGGAATTCTGGAATTATCATTCTGCAGATTCAGATCAAGGACTCTGCTTATCCTCCACAATGGCTTTCTTGAATTCAAGCATTATTAGGAATTTTCAGAAAGGCTAACAGTTTTCTTAGTAAAATTATTGCAACTTTAACAAAGACAAAATCCAAGAGATACACATTTCTTTCCTGAAAATCACTGTTATCCAGTCTTAAAGGCACTTCAAAAAAAGGAAGAAACTTTTAAATTCAATTAGTTTACCAAGAATATACCAAGTATATTATTATACATTTTAAAGAATTGTTTTAGCTGATTGTACAAATGAGTAGTTGTTTCTAAGCTATATTTATCATCAATTGGGCTTATATACATCAACTGATGCTCAAGCAAACTATGTTTTAGTATGAACACAATCTAATAATAATAATGTTACACAACTGGCTTCTAGTCATCTAAGGAGATTTTCCTTTTCCCTTCCCCACATGCCTCCAAATGTGCCCTGAGGGTTTTCCTACATTTGACTGACTGACATACAGATGGACTGTGAGGAAAGAGGATAAAATTCATTCTAACTAGTGTGTAAAAAGATTTTAGATTTTTTTTAATCAACCCAAACAGATTCCAGTCTTATTAAATTAACGGTTACACTATTTTATTCTTTTCCGAAGGAAGAACTTCTTCAATAATATAGATTTCCTAGGCTAAAGGGGAAAAAAACCCTAATAGTTACATCAGTGTATTGCTAGAGGAGCAAGATGGTAATACAGAAGGATTTCTGATAATTTAATTTGAACACTACACATTCCTTCCTTACCTCCATTGTTAGGTAGCTTTTTTCATATTATAATTCAGCATGGGCTCTTCTATTTTTAGATAGCATAAAAAAATGATAGTTCATCCATTTAGTGTTTTTACTTTTTTTGCTTTCTTCCCATATTAGTAAACTACTAAAATATATTAAAATTAATATGCATACTAGATGGTAATGTACTGCAGGAATTTTGATCGTTTCAGATTTGTGACCCAACTTCTACACAACGGAAATATTTATGAAGCACAAGGCAACAAGTTATACATTCTAAGTAAATACCATTTTCTGTAGGAAGGAGAGTAGCCTAAATATTCTATCATACATATATCTTCCCCTAGGCCTATGTGAATACATTTTTTCTTCTGCTGTTTCTTTAGTATGACTTATTTTAGACACCATATTCTTTAATCAACATATGGATCATCTTTCCTTCTTCCTTAATTATTTTAACACTACAAGATTTTCTACTTTCTCAAATAAATTACAGTAATATCTCAATATTTATTCTGAGAGCTTCCCAGAAACCATGATTTTGTTATAGTATATTGGGCAAGAAACATGATTCTATATTTTTCTCCTTTTTAAAAAATTCCTACCTCAAAAGAGAAAAATTTAACAAAACAAAACAAAAATTACGCAAGAATCTAAAAACTAAATAAATAATAACCAATCCCATTTATATTGGAGCTGTTTTTATTTTATAATAATATTTTACATTATTGTTATAAGTTGTTCTTAGATGCATATACATTAAAAGTATAACAAGTTTAAAATGAATTATTCAAAATGCCTTCTACTCTACCATTTAAACTTATCATTTATCTTTTTTTACTACTTAACTCTGGAGCTGGTACTGTGCTTAAAGGGCAGTATTGCAGCAAAACTCTGCCCTCAGCCTGGAGTTCAATCCTGAAGGAGCTCAAGGATGACTCAGCCTTTTATCCTTCCAAGGTTGGTAAAATGAGAACCCATTGTCGGGGGCAATATGCAAATAATACTTCTACAGAGAGCTGTTAAGTGCTATGGGGCAGGCGTGGGATTCAAATTTTTTAACAACTGGTTCTGTGGGCGTGGCTTAGTTGGTGGGCGTGGCTTAGTGGTCATGTGACTGGGTGGACATGGCTTGGTGGTCATGTTATTTGCTGGGCATGGCCAACTCAATATCACTCACATCGAGGCAAAAGAGGGAAAGAAAACTCCAGAGAGGTTCCTGAGACAGGAAGTCTAGTCCTCCCAAGAACGTAATAAGGGTTAATGGAGAGGCAGTTTCTGTAAGCAGCACTAGAATGTTTCCTTCCTGCCTTCCTTATAGGATTAGGCCAGTAATTTCTTCTAACAACCAGTTCTCCGAACTGCTTAGAATGTTAACAACCGGCTCTAGTGAATAGGTGCGAACTGGTAGAATCCCACCCCTGCTATGGGGCAGTATATAAGCCTAAATGCTATTGCTAATGCTAGCTCCAATATGATCAAGTTACATATACTCTTTTAAGGAAGCTCATGTCCTATATAGATAAGAAAGGAGTAAAGTCTTACACCATGACATACATATCATTTAAATAGAATTTGTTAAAATAAATAATTTATAATTTCCAAAATGTTTTAATGAGAATTAAATAATTTCATGCATATACAATTGCTAGCAAGTGTCATATTGGAAAAATGTCATACTAACCAATAAGAAGAACGGTTCCAATTGCCAAACCTCCACCTGAGAACAAAATGAATTTAATAAATAAGCATATATAGTTTCCAAGAATTAGTAGTATCAAAGAAAGGTGATATATGAAGACAACAGGGCAGTGTGAAAAACATTTTAATTACCTGCATAACATTTTTTACAATTCATTCATACTACATATAATTGCATATCATAGTCTACAATTATTTTAATGGTAGAATGGTATAGTGAAAAGATTTTGCATCGCTCTATGAAACTTAACTTAGGTATTTTAATAGTATTACCACAGTCTAAATTTCTTTGTTTCAGTCAGAATATTATGCACATGTAAAATAATGCATTTGAGCAAACATTTGAATATAAGATACAGTTAAACATTTTTCAATGATTTATCAAGACCCAGTGCTAACTTGAAGTGTATTATTTGTACCAAATTACTTCCAAAATATCTTGCCAGGAAAGCTGCAGCTGTTTAGGCAGTCTCTGAGAATCAGATATGATTTAATGCAAGAAAGAGAAATCAAACTAAATTTTCCTTCCATTCTAAAAGATCACTTAGTAGAAGGGCAAGGATACCTTTATTGTACCCATATTTTTTCTGTCTACTAACTGAAATAAAAATATCAATATTGTATATGTTATAAATATATCATATAATTGCATGTCTAAATACATTTGTTTACTTACAAAATAGTTCCCATTAGAATGTTATAGAAATATAGATATGACTTAGAAAGGATTTTGATATCATGTAATACTCCATGCTCAATTCAGGTATTCACTTAATCATTTCCAACAGGTGGCCTTCCACCTACTGTTTGAAAGAGAGTCACAATGTTTTAGGTAAGCACATACGCTGCTTAAGAAATCTTCCCATAAATAACTGGCTGACTAACCACATGCAAAGTGTAGTCCTCAATGGAACTGCATCTACATGGTATGAGCCTAAGTATGCAGTCTTAGGCTCTGTCTTAGGCCCAATACTCTTCAACATCTTCATCAATGATTAAGATGAGGGGATAGATAGGGAACTCATCAAATTTGCAAATGACACCAAGCGGGTAGGAACAGCCAAGACTCCAGGACATAGGCTTAAGATACAGAAGGATCTTGACAGACTTGAACATTGGGCGCTATCTAACAAAATGAAATTCAATTGTGAAACAAGTAAGGTTCTACATTTAGGCAAGAAAAACCAAATGCATAGGTATGGTATAGCTAATACCTGACTCAAAAATAGTAATTATGAGAGGGATCTTGGAGTCCTAATGGACAACCACTTATATATGAGCCAGCAATATGCTACAGCTGCCAAAAAACCCAATTTAGTCCTAGGCTGCATTAAGAGAGGGATAAAATCAAGATCATGTGACATGTTAGTACCACTTTATAATGCCTTGGTAAGACCACACTTGGAAAACTGCATCCAGTTTTGGTCACCAAAACCTTTAGCGTTAGAGGATTCACAACTTCTGGAGGCAAGTTGTTCCACTGACTAACAATGTAAAAAAGATGTTGAGACTCTAGAGTGAGAGAAGAGCACAAAGATGATTAGGGGACTAGAGGCTAAAACATATAAAGAATGGTTGCTGGAATTGGGTATGTCTACTACAGTTTAATGAAAAGAAGGACTGGGGATGATGATATGACATCAGTGTTCAAATATCTCAGGGGCTGCCACAAAGAAGAGGCAGTCAAGCTATTCTCCAATGACCTGAAGGCAGGATAAGAAGCAATGGATGGAAACCGATCAAGGAGAGAGCAGCAACCTAGAACTAAGGAGAAATTTCCTGACACCTATAACAATTAATCAGTGGAACAACTTGCCTCCAGAAATTGAATGCTCCAACACTAAAAGTTTTAAAATGGAGATTGGACAACTGTTTGTCTGAAATGGTATAGGATTCCTCCCTGAGCAGGGGGTTGGATTAGAAGACCTCCAAAGTCCCTCCCAACTCTGTTATTTTGTAACTCTGCAGATAGTACAGTGGGATTATTATCTCTGATATACAGCATAGAAAGCTTTTTTTTGGTCTTTTTTGTTATATTGCATTACTTATTCAGATTCATCTGGGAATCCACAGGTGCTAGATTTTTCTTACAAACAGTATGGTTAAGCAGAACTAGTATCTGCCTAATTTGATATGGCAGAACTGGTATACTCTTGAGTTTCTTTGCTTAAACAATGTCATCTATTGGGACCCTAGAAGTGTACCTTCTCTGTAGCAGCACTTGTCCTATGGAATGTCCAAGATCCGGATGGCCTCCAACCTGCTGGTATTTAAAAAGGCCTTGAAGACCTGATTCTTCATCCATACTTTTGGCTAGGGCGGTGTTGGAAACCCATGGCTCCAGAGTCACATGCAGCTCTTTGGACCCTCTGCTATGGGTCCCTGTCCCATCACTGGCTGGCCCCGCCCTTGCCCTCCCTCGCCTGTGAAGGTAATGGCAACAGTGGGGGATGGAGAAGAGGGGTTAATTCTCTGGCGCCTCACTCTTGCTGCTTGTTGGTGTTGGGCATACCTTCCAGCCCTTGTTGATGCTGGGCTTGCCTCACAATCGAGGCCGGCCTCACTAATATGAGGGCTGGCGGGGTGGGAATGGGATCTGGGAGGAGGGGACGTTGGAAATTGTGACAGGCCCACAGTGCCCAGTCACGGCTTTAAGAAGCTCAGGGTAGCAGGAAAAAGGGGCTGGCCCTGCCAAACCTCACATGCCCACCCCGGGGTCAGGCTTGGAGAAAGTGCTCACCCATCAGCTGGTCTCCCCCCCCATGACTCTCTCTCTGTGTGTGTGTGTGTGTTTGCGTGTGTGTGTGTGTGTGTGTGTGTGAGCAAGCTTTCTTTGGGACTCTTGGCTATTCTTTTATTTTTTCTTTCTGGAAATCTGGGCTGGCTGAAGGCTTCTCTTTGGTGACCCTCCTCCTCCTCCTCTGTGATGACCCGGGGCATGGCACAAAGGCAACACAGTCAAATAATCAGTAGGAGAACCTTTATTAGCTCCAACTTTGTCCCCAATGTTCTGGTTACCTCCTGGCTGAAGAAAAACTCTCCCAGGAACAGCCTTTGGCTGCAGAGAATCAAGTCTAAAACATGGTCAACAAAAACTGTAACTATAAGTCCAATCAAGGCAAAATGAGGTAATTGGTTTGGCAGGGCAGGAGGACAAATTCCAGACATGAAGTCATGGCAATAACTCAACATGGTTGGGAAGACGCCAGGAACACAGATAACTGAAATCAACACAAGATAAACTCATGTTTGCTCCCAGCAGCTGCTGCACTCAGCATGCATCTCTTTTAAACTCTCATTCCCAGGTGTGGCTAATGAAGGGAATCAGGGCCTTTTCCTCCCCCATAAGCCATGCAACCCACCTTGCTCTCTTCTCTGTTCCTCCCTGCATGCCTAGAATGAGGAGGGGGTGGGCCTGGGTCTTCCTCTGAACTCCCTCTACCTTGTTTTATCTCTCCCCTGATCTGCCCAGCTGGACTTTGCCCTTCCCCAGTTTCCTCCACAGCCAATGGAGCCACACTCCCACTCCCTGTCAGCTGTTCTTCTTTCTCCTCGGATTCAGACTCTGACAGGGGCATGACACCCTCCCTCTCCTCTCATGACCCCCTGGCTGGCTGTGGCATGGCTGGGAGGGTGTGCACGTGTGGGGAGACCCCCCTTAAATGAGCAGATGCTTGCCTCACATGCTGCCCGCCCTGCATGCCCCTTGGCCGAGCCAAAGAGGGAAGCCCCTGCCAGCCCGGATTTCAAAAAAGAATAACATAAATAGCCAAGGGGTGGGGGGTCGCCGGAGCCTTAGTGCAGGAAAAAAGCCACGTCCTGTTAAGACCCTCAAGTGAGCAGCCAGCCGCCCTGCGCATGCCTTTGCAGTGCTTTGGCGCTCACTTGAGGGTCTCCCCGAGCGTGCGCACTCTCCCAGCCTCGCCACAGTGAGAGAAGTAGGGGAAGAATCACCCGAAGGGAAGCCTCTGCTGCGACTGGCGATCGGATTTCCAGAAAGAATAAATAAGAGGAGGGAGGGAGGGAGAGGGAGGGAGACACACACACACACACACAGTGATACACACAGAGAGAGAGAGAGACACACACACACACAGAGTGATTCACACAGAGAGGGGGAAGATAGGAAGATGGACAGAGAGACACGGAGAGATAGAGAGGGGGAGAGAGATAGAGGGGGAGAAAGGGGATGATAGGAAGAGGGACAGAGATAGAGGTGGGAGATAGAGAGGGGAGAGAGTGGAAGATAGGGAGAGGGGGAAAAAGAAGGGGAAAGAGAGGGAAAGAGAAATACAGAGAGAGGGGAAGAGAGAGGGAAAAGGAGATACAGAGAGAGGGGGAGAGAGGTAAATAGAGAGAGGGGGAGAGGGTAAGATACAGAGAGAGGGTAGAGAGATACAGAGATGGGGAGAGACAGATACAGAGAGATGGGGAAAGAGAGGGAAAGAGAGATACAGAGAGAGGGGAAGAGAGGGGGGAGAGATGGAGAGAGGGGGAGAGTGGGGGAAGATAAAGAGAGAGGGGAGAGAGATACAGAGCGGTGAAGAGAGATACAGTGAGGGGGAGAGAGATAAAGAGAGAGGGGGAGAGAGAGGGGAAGAGAGGGAGAGGGGGAGAAAGAAGGGAGAGAGGGAAAGAGAGATACAGAGAGGGAGGAAGAGAGGAGGAAAGATACAGGGGGGGAAGAGAGAGGGGGAGATAGATACACAGAGAGGGGGGAGAGACAAATACAGAGAGAGGGAGAGAGAAGGGAAGATAGAAGAGGGGGAAAAGAAGGGGAGATACAGAGAAAGAAATACAGAGAAAGAAATACGGAGAGGGGGAGAAATAGAGGGAAAGAGATACAGAGAGAGGGGAAGAAAGAGAGGGAAAGAGATAGAGGGGGAAGAGGGAGATATAGAGGGGGAAGGGCAGAGAGGTAGAGAGATAGAGAGGTGAGAGATGGGGAGAGAGAGACAGAGCGAGAGAGAGAAGGGTTTTGTGGCTAGGTAGTGTGGCTAGGTCATGTTATCCTTCCCATCTTTTACTCTTTTATCTATTCTTGTATTTTTTTCCCCATTTTAATGCTTTTACATGTGAACTCTCCTAAGACTTTGGGAGGCATATAAATTTAATAAATAACACCCCAATCTGGTACCAATGCATTTGTTTTTTCTTGTTTAGATGTAGTACCTATACTTACTATAGCTTAAATTATTCTACCACATTGGCCCAGCATTCAGGCCCATTTATAAATTGATGTTAATTTCCAAACCACAACCTTGTAAATAATAAATATGTGTAACAATAACATTTATGCAATTCTGAAAGATGGCTAGGCCCCTGTCTCAAAACTCATTCTAGGTTTTGTTCCCTGCCTTGCCTGTGCAAGTCCACAATGGGGTTGCCCAAAGAAAGCAGGACTATGTTCTGGCAGAGCTTCAGTTTTACCGTGTTTCTCATATAATAAGGCCGGGTCTTATTTTTTTTTGAGCCCCGAAAAAATGGCTAGGCTGTCTTTTCAGGGGTGACTTAATTCCCCCCCCTTTGCATCTTTGGGTGGGCGGCGACGGCTTGGATGTTGACCTCAGCGTTGGTGGGGCACTTCGTATCAGGGTCAACGCAGGCAGCACCATACCCGGGTGTGCAACAAGAGTACTTCCTAACGGCAAGCCCCCCCACCATTCTGCCCATTTCACATGTTTTAATATAGGCCTTAATTTGGGGGGAGGAGCTTAATTTCATTTCATGCCTATAAAACATGCTGGGACTTCCTATTGGGGGAGGCCGTATTGTTGGAGAAACAGGGTATTTATGCAACAATTTTTAACAGTTATTTCATCCCACTACTGCTTGTGATCCCTTGTGAGGATCATGACCAGTGGTGGGATTCAAATTTTTTTACTGCCAGTTCTGAGGGCGCGGTGTGGTGGGCTGGCAGGGGAAGGATACTGTAAAATCTCCAGTCAGAGGTGGTATTTGTTGGTTCTCTGAACTACTCAAAATTTCCACTACTGGTTCTCCAGAACTGGTCAGAACCTGCTGAATACCATCGCTGGTCATGACCCATCATTTCAAAACTCCCAATTTAAGAGTTGTCAAACTCTTTAGTATTACAGGGCTGGAACGGACCTTGGAGATCTTCTAATCCAATCCTCTGTCCAAGGCAGGAGATCTTGTTGCATCCCTGACAAATGGCTATCCAATCTCTTCCTGAAGACCACCAGCGATGGAAAGCCCACATTTCCAGGAAGACCCACAAATACAAATTGACATAATTTTTGACATTGGGTTTCCATTCTTATTTTGTCTACAGCAAAAAAACCAGCTGCCATTTTCTTCCTCATTTTCCTTTTTTGGAAAAGACTTTCCAAGAGACGGCTTGGGTTGAAACCGAGAATCTATAAAACCAAAGAGCTAATTCAGGGAGAGAAAGGTGACATGTCAAAATTACTGCTGACTTTGATTTCTTTCTTTCTGTTTTACAGAATCAGTATTGAAATTGGTGCATGTTTTTTATTGTTGAATGTCTGATTTCTTATTGTTGGGTGTGCACTAAGTTGATATATTTAACTTAATACAGTATAATGGGTAAATCTAGTTACCACCACTTCTATCCAAGCTTCTGGTATAATTTATAAACAGTACAAGTGTAATTGATTGCATCCAGGACAACCCAGAAACATTTAGGAGCTTCATGGTTGCAAATCAACCAGACTGCATTATCATTTTAGTTCATCTTCTCCAACAAAATAGGAGACATCTTATCTAATCCTTTACTGAAATCAAGGTATGCTGTACAAGTAATCCTTGATTTACAATGTTCATTTAGAGACCGCTCAAAGTTATAACAGAGCTGAAAAAGGTGAAGTATGACAATTTTTCACTTATGACTGTTGCAGCATCCCCATGGTCACACGATCAAAATTTGGATGCTTGGCAATTGGTTCGTATTTATGATGATTGCAGTGCCCTGGAGCCATGTGATCAGCTTTTGCGCGCTTCTCACAATCAAAGTCAATGGGGAATCCAGATTGACTTAACAACCATGTTACTAATGTAACAGCTACAGTGATACACTTAGCAACTGTGGCAAGAAAGATCATAAAATGGGGCAAAATTCACTTAACCAATTTCTTACTTACCAACAAAATTTTTGGGCTCAATAGTAGTCGTACGTTGAGGACTACCTGTAGTTCTTGGAGACTGCCAATTCTTAAGATTCTATAATTGTATACCTATAGCATTCCTTTTATAAAAGAAGTACAGTTATCTAGCACTTATTGAGGAACCCATGCTGGAAGAATGTTTATTTTCAAACTTAAGCCCATATTACATCTCAAAGATATTATAATTTATTTCATTTTAAACAATTTTATATTTAAATAAGAGGAATGAGCAGGATTTTTAACAAGTGCTTCAACAGAATTTTGAAAAACTCTCCAATGAATGGGATATTGTATACTTCTAGGTGAAAGCTTTACTGTTAAATTGTATTTATGTAAAACAAACTTTCAATATTTCTATTACACACATACACACACACACACACACCCATTAGGTAGTTCAATTCCTCAGGCATTTAGATTTAGCTTCATTAACTTTGAAGTTGATCTTAGGAAAAATCTCTAATGAAACAAGAAACATTGTCTTTCTGGAGTCTCTAAAACCTAGGTAGAAACTAAATCATCTTCTGGTTTATGATACACATCCATCCTCTAATACAGGGGTCTCCAATCTTGGCAACTTTAAGACTTGTGGACTTCAATTCCCAGCTTTGCTGGCTGAGGAACTTTGGGAGTTGAAGTCCACAAGTCTTAAAGTTGCCAAGGTTGGAGGCCCCTGCTCCAACAGCCCAACCCAGTTTTTAGATCCTCCCATGCCAATTCTGATACAGAATATGTAAATTAAGTTGAGCCAAAGCCTCTGGATTGATCCAGGTATACACTTCTACAACAACCCCCTGAAATTCAAAATATGCAAAATACAGTACTTCCTGGAACCAGGGGTGGGATTCAATCGGTGTTACTACCGGTTCGGTGATTACGTTTTGCGCAGCGTTCGAAAAGCCTCTTTTTTCCTGCTTTTTCAACCTCAGCTGTGCCACGCAAAGCAGCTGAGATTGAAAAAGCAGGAAATAAAAGACAGGTAAGAGCCTGGGCGGGCAGGTTGGCCAAACAGCAGCAGACACAAAACCGGTTTGGTGTCTGCTGCTCTTCAGAGCTACCGGTTCTATAGAGCCGGGCAGAACCAGTAGCATCCCAGTAGCCTGGAACTGCTCCACTTGTTGGCAATTGACTTGCACAAACCTCAAGCTACACACAAGTCAAGTACAGGTAGTCCTCGACTTACAACAGTTCATTTAGTGGCCGTTCAAAGCTACAACTCTAAAAAATGGCTTATGACCGTTTTTCAGAGTTACAACCTTTGCAGCATCCCCATGATCATGTGATCAAAATTCAGATGCTTGACGACTGGTTCATACTTGTGACCATTGCAGCATCCCAGGCTCACGCAATCCCCTTTTGTAACCTTCTGACAAGCAAAGTTAATGGGGAAGCCAGATTCACTTAACAACCAGGTTACTAAGTTATCAACTGCGGTGTTATCAACTTAACAAATGTGGCAAGGAAAGTCGTTAAATGGGGCAACATTCCCTAAACAAACGTCTCACTTAACAAGAGAAATTTTGGGGTCGTAAGTCGAGGACTACCTGTACTTACAGAATCCACCCAGAGCTACAGAGTGAAATAACTGCCAGTTTATTAAGCTTTGCTGCACGTATCGTTTAAAAAGCAGAAAAAGAGAGGCGGCGGCGGAGGATTGCATTTGGGTTCCGGTTCTCGCACGCCCCTTACCAGGCACAACTTTTAAATCTCCGCTTTCCCAAATCCAGAAGTTTGCTCGGCGGGGAAGCCAAGTGCATCTGTTCCCCAACCCATCCGAAGAAGCAGGGGGCGTGGGAATTCACCCCGCAGGAGAAGAGACTACCTTCTACCACGCGGGAGGATTCAGGAGCAGCTTTCCGTCCCTGCCTCTCTCAGGCCTCTGAAGGTGCTCGACTACCTTTATAGCAGGTAAAAAGCGAGGTCCCGGGGCGGTAAGCGGCGGCGGGGGGGGGGAGCAGAAACGGGGCTACGAAATATTGGGCAGCGCTGTCAGCACCAACCTAAAACGGAGTCCAGAGAAGGGACGCCGCTGGAAAGCAGGAGCTGACCGTGTCGCACCGACGGCCGGGTTCCTGGCAGAACGACCAAGCGGCCCCCTCCGCCATCCGGCACTTTCCTTTGGAAACTCGTCGTAGCCCTTTGCCTCCGCGCCAGTCCCTCGGTCGCCAAGTCCGCCATCTTAGCTTCTGCTCGGTTGACAGGAAAGAGACGAGGGGGGGGGGGGGGGGGGAAAGGGGCGGGTCGCGCAGCATCCGCCGAGCCAATGGGAAGGGCGATTGTTGGCAGGCGGTGACGCTTCCTTTCCAGCCGGTGAAGAGAGGGGAGCATCTAGTCCTCTCACTGTGGTCCAAGAAGGTGAGTGGATTGTCTTATCTGGAAAAAAAAAAAAAAAAGAATAATGCGTCCGAAACGCTCTTTGGGGCCTTCCTAAGAACGGGAAGCAATGATTCGGCTCCGTTGGGGAGGACGTAAGAAAGGTGGGTTTTACTTCTGCGAGGAAGCATCCTTCCTTCCTCCCGTGTTTACGGCCAGAGGGCTGCCGGTTGTAACGGAATAAAAACTCACCACCTTTGAGGACGAGGCAGCTTCATGGCTTCGTCCCTGTGGATGGCGATTTGTTGAGAGAACTTAATTGCGAAGCTTGAATCGTGCATGAACTTTACCTGGGAATAAAGAGGCATGGGGCTGCCTGGCGGCTATCATTGGTCTAAAAGAGAACTGAAGCACTGAATCAATCAATCAGTCTCTCTCTCTCTCTCTCTCTCTCTCTCTCTCTCTCTCTCTCTCTCACACACACACACACACACACACGAGCGAGCGAGCTACGTTGCAAAATCTCCGCAGAGATTTCTTGGAGGATAAGCACGTTGGGTAGCAAGACTGCAAAATGATAAAAAAAGAAACTTATTCTGCCACAGCAGCCTTGAATGTTTTTTTTTTTTTGCTATGTATAGGCATATAGTCTATGCACTTTCACTTATTTCATATGGCAGGTGAACTTTTAATGAACTGGTAACGTGCAGGTAGCCTGTTGCTAGTATTGATATGATACTTTCTTTGCCAAAAAGAGAATGAGCTAGTTTGGGGCACTACAGGGAAAAAAAGGAAGAACATGATTTATCAAGTGCAGCTTTGTTTAAACAGGCATTCTAATGTGTTGTATAAGAAATGTACTGCTTCTTAATTGAAGAATTGATTTTGGCCTCACATAGTAATCTGCTAATGAAGCCATTCAAACAATTGGAACTTTGTAAGGAAAACTCTTATGACCTTAATGTATTTTTAAGGCATATTTTATTTACAAAATGAAGTTGTCAGTTTGATTAATTTCAAGTAGGTATTTACAAATTACGCTGCTAGTGAATGTGCATGTATATACACATTCTTTCCTCATAAGTACCCATAACAAAAATATTTGTTGATCAATTATATCCTTTATCTGCTTTGCTTTACAGTATATAAAACTGATATCCATAGCAGAATGCTAAATAACATTTAACCCATCTGTTTAGTCATTGCTGTTTGCTAAGGCCTTTTTTTTTTTAGCTGAAAACAATTGAAGTAGAATTCCTTATAGCGTATGTATCTATTTTATTGTACTAAACATGTTTTTTCTTCAAGAAAAAAAGTTATCAAGTTGTGATACATCAGCCAATTAAGAGTAGAGCTACATTTTTCATCTGGACCGTCATATCTTAAAATATAAATACAGATCTTAAGTCTTGTCCTTGATCATTGTGTATGATGTCTGCAACTAATGGAAGATGTTGCTCAAGCTATCCTACTGAATCTATGTTTTAAGATTAACATAGCATATATATGTTTATCCATAATATTAATCCATGGACTTACCCATAGTATGTAACCCTAAATTGCACCTCAGCAGTTTGCCAGTCCTGGTCTTTCCTGATCAGTAGATAATTATCTTTGGGCTGGTTAGCTTAGATAGCATAGCTGATTTTTTAAACAAAACATTGTAGTACAAGGAGTACACCATTAATGGGCTGATTGATATTTGGTGGGAAAGATTAATTCTACTGAGGAATAGGTAGCTGGAAAGAAATAGACCAGAAACCTGTAGTTTGCCTGTATATGATTAGGAATGAGCATTGAAAATATATTTCATTTTTTAGAAATGTAAGAACTTTCTGTATAGAAAGCAGATATTCCAATTTTCACAAATTATGAAGTGTATTCCTTTTATAACTCATTTAAGCATCATTAGTTTTCAGCAAATAGCTTACTGCATTAAAATTATACATATATCAGATAATCTTATTACCTTAAACTATTCTCTAGACACTAATCACAATTTTATATAAAAGTATAAAATTCACTGCCAAAGATTTACAAAATGTTTCAATCTGAAACAGGGTTTTTAATGAATCTATAAAATTCAGATCACGAGTTGTACAAGTTTGATTGTTTAGCAACTATTATACAGGTATATTTCACTATTAGTGTATATCTAATATAAAGTCAGTTTAACCAACTGACTATGGCTATGGAGTAAATTCAGATAGGCCTTTCTATAAGTCTCTCTAAGGTCTTTCTAAAAACAGAACAGGCAGCTTGATTTTCTGGAAGCCACTTGGTAATGGCAATTCTTAGAAGAATCTAGGATGTTTCAAGATACTGCAGGTGCCATGAGGTGAGTGGTTGATTCCTTTCTTTTTCCATTAAGAATTGAATAAACTAGCCTCTCTCTGGAATTTGCTTTGCAGCAGCAGGAGTGCTGCTATACCACAATTTCCTTCCAAATTTTAGGATTGCTTTGGTTGCTGCTTTTTTATTTTGCATTCAGATAAGTGTGGAAACACTATGAGGAAGAAAAGATTTCCCACCTGCCGTAGATTATAGATCCCTGTGGCTTTTCCCAGGGCGAATGTGCCCCTTAAATAGTTCCTATACCTGTTACAGCATTAGAATTTGTTTTTGGCTTCTTTGTGCAAATTAAGGGTATACTCACATGGAACTCTGCTACATTATGAGTAAATAGCAGATTTTAAAGATGGTAAGTTTAGATGGAAGGGGTAGTTTTGACATATCTCTTTAATATTCTTTAGAAGTTGCTGTGCTTAAAACCTTTTTCCCTGAAAGTTTTAACTCTTCAAAGAAATGTCTTATGTAGTAATTTGAAATTCCAAATATTCTTGAATGCAGATTAGTTTCAGCTAGCAGAGCTCAAATTCTGGCAGAGGGCTCTCCATCTCTTTAGAAATTCAGTTGATTCTGTAATGATGCCTGACAATTTGTTATTCAAACAAATAGAATCTGTCAAATTTATATATCTACACAAATTTATATATCTACACTCTGAAAATATTCAGAGTGATATGAAATCCTTTGTGATGTCTCCCACATTGTGGAACTTCTTGCCTCCAGAATTGTTTGGCATTCCTCCTGTTGATTCCTCCTGCAATGTAGTAGAACATTGTCCTGTTTAAACAAGTATTAGAAGGATCATTGTTGTGGAATGTTTTTATGATCAGATAGATATGTCTGTTCTTTAACCCTTATTCTTTTTGATAGATTATTGATGATTTTTTTTATTTTTATTATAAATAATCAAGAATTCAGGGAGAATGGTATAGAAGTGCTTGTAATAAAAAATAAACTTCCAGTTCTCCCATTTTTCTGTGTTATTTTTAGAAAGGGGACCTAATTACTCTCATTTTATAAAACGCCATAAGTTATATAGAGGACGTCCAGTAATAATAGTAATTGTAATAATTCCACATACACAATGGATTTTTCCCAAATCAATATGCATAGGATTACAGCCAAAAAAAGTTGTAGAATTATAGCTTAAGAAATGATAGATCCACAGCTTTGATCTAGCACACTTATATACAGCTGTATACTCTGATATTAAAATAATGTTCCTGCAAACCTAATTTTTTTCAATGTCACATTAGTTGAATAATAGCATATTATGCAGAAAGTTGCTTCGTCAATGTGAATGTTAAGGCTGCAGCTTGATTATTTTTTATTATAAGTAATAGTTCCTTGAATAATACTTATATAAATAACATCAGTTTCATTATTATGGTTCCACTCTTTGTAAGTATACATAAGTATTGTGTATGATGAAAATTAGCCTACAATTTACTATGGAAAGTGAAAGTTCCTTGGACACATATGATAGCTTTCATTTTATTGCTAGGATTTCAGCCATATTGTACAAAGAATAGATGGTATTGTGAGGTTGGGTCTTTCTGGGAATCATCCCAGAGAATAACAGAGAGCATACATTAAAATAATTATTGCTGAGTGTTAAAAGCTGCCTGAATTTTAAAAAGGAACACAAAAGGAAATGCATACTGTTATTACCAGGATTTTAATAATAGAATAATTGAATATTCATATCTGATTCAAACAAGAGTAGAAAGTTAAATTTTTGGTGTTGAAAAATATCTTATAAGAATTGGTGCTTTTCAGAATAGATTGGATTCTAGCCAAGGATAATGTAATGAACTTTTCTAGTGGCTAATACTAACTGAAAGTCCAATAGTTTTAGGTTACCCATAATTGAGATTCTTTACATTCAGTGAAATTTATTTCTTAATGGATATAATGATTTGTTATTTCTCTTTATTTTGGTTGAGAACATTAAAATAGCCCTCAATTCATTGCTATAGAAACTTCAAGTGTCTAACTTGGAAATGAAAGATAATTTGAATATCAGATTGTGAAATCATTGCTGTGATATACTATCAAAATATTTATCTTCTTATTCTAAATCTTAAAGTGGATAACATAAGTTGAGGAAATATGACATGATATGACATAGTGGTGACCTCTTCCCTTGATATTGAAGCATATTAGCTAATGTTAAAGAACTTCTCGATTATTTGACCATCATTCAGAGATAATTTTGTCAAAATTCACTAAAATTTTTTGAATGTTAGTGGATTCTGTTTTTATTTGCACTAGCCAAATTGCTGTCGATTGCAGTAGGGTGCATAAGATTTGTTAGTATTTTGAAATGTGATAGTTTTCAATTGTTCTTTGTTAGTAATAGTTTTCAGTTTTTCTTTTCACATGCAGGTCTTCGCTACTTAGAATATAATGTATAATAACTGATAGGAGTGTATATTGATTCTTTTCTTGTTAACTCCAGGGCTTTGTACCCCTTTATAGTATGTATACATGGAAATAAGCACCATCAAGCAGATTTCAGTTATAATATAACAAACCATCTGATTTTTTATAACAAAGATTAAAAGTGACTCTTTATTTTAAGTTAGCCCATTTGAGGTAACTTTGTTGACAAGTTTTGCCCTATGATGCTGCATTTCAACCAACAGAAGATTACAAAGTGAGTTTAGTACTATATAGATTAGTGTGTTCTT